CACGCCCTGGCTACAAGAGCCAACGAGCACTCTGATGATGATTCTGATAGCTAAACAAGTTAGAACCGTTAAGAGCTTATCAACATATCAGAGGCGCAGTATTGGATTTAATCCCATCAGCTTTTCAGTTCCCTGCTCGCGCCTTTTTAAGTATTGCCATAGGCTGAATAAAACCTAAAGCCTAATAACCTTAAAGGTTCTCCGTACAACAGAGAGTTTCCCTTTCAGAAAGGCTTTAAGAAGCTAAGAACACTTAGCTAACATAAACAACACTGAATAGTGGTATAAGTGTATGTGATCATGGCCTAAAAGATAACATTAATAATAAACGCATGATTATTTAATCATATTTAATAATATCGAATAATAATGTTGGCAATAAATTGAGAAATTGAGATGAAGATTGAGAAGGTAGGTTTGGTGTAAATAGAAGGATGGTGATCCAGAAAAGAACCGAATCCTTACTTGCAGAGTTTCTGTGATAATGTGGGCTGTTTTTCCTCCAGGAAGGTTAGGGTACATCCACTAAGCTAAACCCCAGTGAAAACCTGTGGTGTGAGCTGAAGAGGAGAGTCAACAAGAGAGTCAGCAATGTCTGATTGCTCTCTCTGTATTCTCCAGACTCATCAAGCCTTATAAGAGAAATCTCAGTGTTGTCATGTTGGCAAAAGGAGTTTGCAAAAAGTATTAAATGTAGGGGTGCCGAAAATCACAACAACTAGATTCATTTACTTCGATTAAAAGTTAAAAGCTAAAAAGGTTAAGACATTTTAGCATAACCTTTTTTTTTTATACCTCTTTTTGTATCTTTATCAAGGGTGCCAATAATTATGGCCCTGGCCGTTTTTCTTCATTCATAGTGCTAGAATATTTAACTTTGAATGGCAGTATCTATCTATCTATCTATCTATCTATCTATCTATCTATCTATCTATCTATCTATCTATCTATCTATCTATCTATCTATCTATCTATCTATCTATATCTATCTGTCTGTCTATCTATATTAATCTGTTCTGTCTGTCTGTCTGTCTATCTATCTATCTATCTATCTATCATATCTATCTATCTATCTATCTATCTATCTATCTAAATCTGTCTGTCTGTCGTCTGCTGTCTGTCGTCTATCTGTCTGTCTGTCTGTCTTCTGTCTATCTATTCATCTATCTATCTATCTGTCTGTCTGTCTGTCTATTATCTATCTATCTATCTGTCTGTCTGTCTGTCTGTCTGTCTGTCTATCTATCTATCTATCTATCTATCTATCTATCTATCTATCTATCTGTCTGTCTGTCTGTCTGTCTGTCTGTCTGTCTGTCTATCTGTCTGTTGTCGTCTGTCTGTCTGTATCTATCTATCTATCTATCTATCTATCTATTATCTGTCTGTCTGTCTGTCTGTCTGTATCTATCTATCTGTCTGTCTGTCTGTCTGTCTGTCTATCTATCTATCTATCTATCTATCTAATCTATCTAATCTATCTGTCTATCTGTTATCTGTCTATCTATCTATCTATCTATCTATCTATCTATCTATCTATCTATCTATCTATCTATCTGTCTATCTATCTATCTATCTATCTATCTATCTATCTATCTATCTATCTGTATATTAATCTATCTATCTATCTTTCTATCTATCTATCTGTCTATCTATCTATCTATCTATTATTATTATCTATCTATCTATCTATCTATCTATCTGTTATCTGTTATCTATCTATCTATCTATCTTTCTATCTATCTATCTGTCTATCTATCTATCTATCTATCTATTTATCTATCTATCTATTATTTATTTATCTATCTGTTATCTATCTATCTGTCTGTCTGTCTGTCTGTCTATCTATCTATCTATCTATATATCTATATGTCTATCTGTCTGTCTGTCTATCTATTTATCTATCTATCTATCTATCTATCTATCTATCTATCTATCTGCTATCTGTTTGTCTGTTCTATCTATCTATCTATCTATCTATCTATCTATCTATCTATTTATTTATTTATCTATCTATCTATCTGTCCGTCTGTCTGTCTGTCTATCTATTCTATCTGTCTGTCTGTCTGTCTGTCTATCTATCTATCTATCTATCTATCTATCTATCTGTCTGTCTATCTGTCTATCTATCTATCTATCTATCTATCTATCTATCTATCTATCTATCTATCTATCTATCTATCTATCTATCTATCTATCTATCTATCTATCTGTCTATCTATCTATCTATCTATCTATCTATCTATCTATCTATCTATCTATCTGTCTGTCTGTCTATCTATCTATCTATCTATCTATCTATCTATCTATCTATCTATCTATCTATCTATCTATCTATCTGTCTATCTGTATATCTATCTGTCTGTCTGTCTGTCTGTCTGCCTGTCTATCTATCTATCTGTCTGTCTGTTTGTCTGTCTGTCTGTCTATCTATCTATCTATCTATCTATCTATCTATCTATCTACTATCTATCTATCTATCAATTCTGTCCATCCATACATTTTATCTAAGCATCTATCATATCCATCCACAGCTCAAGATATGTTATGCAATGTTCTACTCAGAGATCTCCCCTGGATTTTATGAGCGTTCCTTTAATAATCTCTCACATTTCACTCAGGGGATTAAACTGGAGCCTCGGGATATGATGTCATTTAAATGTAATGCAACATATGCTGACTTTACGATGATGTATATAAAAGAATGTTATGTTTTTCGTGGCCCCTTCAGGACATGATGAAACATCAACCCTTCCATATGTTCTCCCATCGTAAATGCAACGCATGTGCAGAAGAACCTGCTTTTGTCTTTGAGGCATTTTGTTCAGCATATTATTGACAGATAGCATAACGAATGCAGAACACAAGTCCTCCATAAGGGCTGACTTTTACACACAGCAGATGCAGGCGTGGAGAGCGGCGCTGCATCATGTGTTTTTGGGAGAGTTTTGGGGACTTGTCTTACCTACTGAACGGATTCCAATACAGTCTCAGGTTTCTTCAGAGCTCTTACATGGTGGAGAATAAAAATAAAACTTGACCTATTTATGGCTGAAGAACCGTTTCCATAAACAGGGCTTCAAAGTTTTAAGCCTACGGTGGAAACGTTTAGATAGTTCGGCCTACAATTTAGAGGGTCACTTCAAATTCATATTACCAAAAGTCTGGCATGAGTCGAAAGTCCAAACACAGATCTAAAATCTTCTCTAAACTCAGGGTACTGCTTGATTTAATACAGTTCTGTCTGACTGTTTCTCATTAAGCAACTCTTTCATCTCAATAACCAGCTTATAAACGATATCAGCTCAGCCGAGAAAGACATATTGTCTATTGAGAGCACATTATGAGCAGCTGGGCTTAATTTATCAGAATGTATCAACTTTTGAAAATCTAAAGTGAACAGGGTTTTTTTTTATTTTTATTTTTATTTGTTTTTAGATAATATCATTCCATTTTAAAACATTTAACAGTAGTTGTAACCACTGCGTACCTGAAACACCCCATAAGCCCTCCCATGTTGAAGATGCCCTGACCCAGTCGTCTATCCGTCGCAATTTGGCCCTTGTTAAAGTCGCTCAGATCCTTAATCTTGCCCATTTTTCCTGTTTTGAAGACATCAAATATGAGAACTGCTCACTAGCTGCCGAATATATCACACCCATTGACAGGTGCCATTGTAAGAAGATAATCAATGTTTCTATAGTAACAGAGTTCCGATGACTCTTACGGAGGACGCCCCACGTACAGTAATTGTGTAATTGTTGTTGTGAAGTTTTCTTTGAGATGATGTTTATTCAGCGTTTATGGACTCTCCAGTGTCAGTGGTTTTCAACCATCAGAGATAAAACTTTCAGTCGCTTTAAATTTTCCGCCACGGGAAAGTCTTCGGATGATTTCTTGCTTTAATATTTGCACTGGGCTCTTTTTATGTCGTTCACTTGATGAGAAAGAAAGAAGAGGCTGGTAGAAATGAACTATTTGGGGTTTTTTTTTCCCCCACAGACGTTCCACAAGATTAAAATCACAGCTATAAAAGGATAATGTGTCATCCATCCATCCATCCATCCATCTTCTTTACCGCTTATCTTTCTTCAGGGTCACGGGGAACCTGGAGTCTATCCCAGGGAGCATGAGGAACAAGGCGGGGTTACACCCTGGACAGGGTACCAGTCCATCACAGGACACACTCACATACACACTCACACACCCATTCATACACTACGGACACTTTAGACACGCCCATCAGACTACCACGCATGTGTTTAGACTGGGGGAGGAAACCGGAGTACCCGGAGGAAACCCCCGCAGCACGGGGAGAACATGCGACCTGCCCTAATATGTCATTCTTGAATAAATTTAGTTGACACATTGCTGTGGTACAGTGTGAGAGGAATAAAAGCCGTCAGGATGTGCCGTTGTAGGAAAATATTCAGCCTCTGTCAAGTGAACGGAGTTTATATCGTCGTTCCTCTATATTGCTTGTATACATTGGGATGAAATAGAATTTCTCCGACACAGGACTACGTCAAGTGCAAATACACAACAGTGTGAGATGAGTGTAGAGGGTTCAGAGTGGGTAACAGTAACTCTGCTTCAGCGCACCATTCGGTACTGATTATTTATGCCTCCTAGTATTTTATTCCTTATATATTACCCCCAAAACACTACAGAACAATAAAAGTGACAACCCCACCCCCAAAATGATGACATGTACTCGTTTTTTATAACCACAATTCTAGACGAAACCTTACAGCACTGAGGTCAGAGAGCTAAACGCGACACCCTGTGAACCGACTGATCCGACTTTAAGTTGGCGCATGATAGGAATACTGTAGATTTAGTGCATTGATAACCGCATTTTTAACAGACTTTGCTTTTTTCCCCCACCTCTTCATCCTTCTCATTCATCACGGACAGATTTGTGGTGTGCTTAATGCTGCAGGCTTTCCCCCCTCATTTTTCCCCCTACATTCATGCACAGAACATACAATACATATATGGGAAGTGGTAGCTCAGCAGTTAAAACGTCGGACTTCTGATCGGACGGGTATGGGTTCAAATCCCAGCACTGCCAAGCTGCTGCTGTTGGACCCTGAACTGCTCAGCTGTATGAAGTGAGCTAATTACAAGTCGATCTGGATAAGGGGCGTCTGCCAAATGCTGTAATGTAATATGGTACAATTATTTATTATTATTATTATTTTTTACAGATCTTGCAACACATATTTAGCACCGTATCAGTCATGTTATTACTCTTAGTAACTGATTAACTCAGGCCTTACTGTGGCACTGGGGTTAAAAACAGTTTGAAAAATCTATTATAAGAAGGATTTTAATCCATTCAGTTAGTCCATCGCTACGGCGCCATCTGTTGATGAATTTGTGAACCACAGGCATGCATAGTAACGCTGATCACGAGGGGGAAATCCACAATGAATGACTTGTATAGGCCTATTCATCCTTATCATTAACACGTGATGTTCAAGATTTATTGACCTAATACACTCCTAAGTTTCTTACATTACGCACAGTGTTGTTCGACAATCTGCTGATAGCGATGCGGTGGGATTTATGCTGCACTCAACTGAAGTTTGTCGCTCGTTCCATCCTCCAACTAGGATAAAATAGAGGAAGTGAGACCTCAGCTTGGAATTCCTACTCGGAAAGCCGAAAAAACCCGAGTTCAGCATATGACGTCATGTCCGCTCTCAATTTACAGTACGCAGACAGAAATTAAACGATCGCTACAGAGGCCTACCGTAAAAGAGTTTTCCGTATTATAAATCAATCAACAGGTCAAATCTATAACACTGAGCATACTGTGTGCTGTTTTGAGAAAGTACCTATCACAAACGCATTCTCACTAAAGTCATTTGTGCAGTTTGAATGCTAATGTAGCACGTGCCTTCGAGGAGGCATCCACGATTTGTTTACTTTCTCACTTTGTAGCTTGAACGCACGAAAAATAATCTGCGTAATTCCGGCAGGAGTTCAGGCTTCTTCATTTCCCACTGAGTTATCTCTACATAAACAGAGTGATGCAGCAGCGCTTTAGTCTTTTAGTCTGTCCAGCGCTCTCGTGTCCTCATCAGTACACTCGGCTCAAACAGACCAGCTTCCAAAGCTTCAACGTTCATGCTGATACTGGACTACTGCAACGCGCTACTCTCGGGCCTCCCAGCCTCGTCTTCAACCAGCCCAAAAGAACCCATCTCACACCCCTCTTCATCTCCCTCCACTGGGTTCCTGTATCCGCCCGTATCAAAATTCAAGGCCTTGATGCTCATCTACAAGACCTTGTCTGGAACAGCACCCTTCTACCTCAACTCTCTCCTGAAGGTTTACGTTCCCTCACGCAATCACGCAACGACCGACGCTTTGTACTGCCTGCTCAACGTGGCCCAAGATCCTTTTCCAGAACCTTCACATTAACTGTTCCTTAGTGGTGGCATGAACTTCCAACCTCAATCCGGACCCCAGGATCTCTCACTAAAGACCCGACTCTTCCGTGAACACCTAACCAACCCCTAAAACTCCAACCCTACATTATCCAGTACAAATATTATGCATGGGTGCACAGTGCCTTAGTGGATAACATGTTCACCTCAAACCTCCAGTGAACCCCTGTGTGTGTGTGCGGAGTTTGCATGTTCTCCCCGTGCTGCGGGGGTTTCCTCCGGGTACTCCGGTTTCCTCCCCCAGTCCAAAGACATGCATAGTAGTCTGATGGGCGTGTCTAAAGTGTCCGTAGTGTATGAATGGGTGTGTGAGTGTGTATGTGATTGTGCCCTGTGATGGACTGGCACCCTGTCCAGGGTGTACCCCGCCTTGTACCCCCATGCTCCCTGGGATAGACTCCAGGTTCCTGTAGGATAAGCGGTACAGAATATGGATGGATGGATGGATTGATAAATATTATGCATTTTATTTATTTATTCCACATTCTCATGCAGGGTGCCAACAATTCTGTATGTGACTGTAAGCTTAGTCAACACTGGTTATTAAATTTCCATTTCCTGTAACCTTCGCTATAGTTGCTGAATATGTGTTTATTAAGACATGCTGTTGTGTGGGCATTTTTTGTCTTATTAGGTTTTGACTGTTGCTAGGTTTCCCTCTGTGTGTGTGTGTGTGTGTGTGTGTGTGTGTTCCTGCTCTTTCCCCCAGGAAGTGTGTCTGGAGATAGCACACAGCCTCGGGATGTGTGTGCACTTGTTTATCTGTTTGTAACTACAAATGATGAAACAGTAACTGTTTACTAAGTGACTGTCTCTACTGCAACTTCCCCTTGCTCCATAATGTCCCTGCATTGTGATATCACTCCGAATTACACGAATCACTACTAGTGTGCACAGCCTGAGAAATCAACTGCAAGAACTCGACACTATTGATCAGCCTTTCAGTCTTGTATTCGTTCAGTTTCTTATTAGATCTCCTGACCTAAACACAACTGCAGGAAATGACACGTAATGACCATTCATTATTTAGGTTTGGTGATATTCTTTACGTTTCTGTGTAAATAAATTTGATCGTAATTAGTAATTAGTAATGTGACCATATCGTATTCTTTGGAAACCATACACCTCACGCCTACACTGCTAACCGCTGATACAGAACTAATTACATTCGAGATTTTCCCAGTTAACAGCAGCGAGGGCCAGGCTTCTCAGCCTGATCTACTAGATGATAATGAGTATTTAAGTAATATTTTGACCACTGTTTTTAGTCAGCTGCTATATGGGCACCAGAAGATATCATCTATGTCTTAGTGTTAGATTTTTAGTGTTTTTTTTTTGTTTTGTTTTGTTTTTTAGAACATTATTATCTATGAAGCTGGGAAAATTTGCAATCCAACCAGTTTCTTCACAAATCTTATGAAGAGACTGTGATCAGCAATGACACTGAGTGACATGATTCAATGATTTAAATTCAATGCTGTAATAAATTATGTACAAAACAACAACAACAACGACAACAAACTTTCCTGAAAGTATGGCAAGTATTGTCAGTACTTTAATAATAACTAAATGACAAGCAGTAAGCTGGGTTTCAAAATCTACCTTTGTACCACATTACATTTTTGTTCATAATTTACCAGGTTAAATAATAATAATAATAATAATAATAATAATAGCGCAAGGTGGCTTAGGGGTTAGCACGTTCGCCTCACACCTCCAGGGTCGGGGGTATGAATGGGTGTGTGAGTGTGTATGTGATTGTGTCCTGTGATGGACTGGCACCCTGTCCAGGGTGTACCCCGCCTTGTGCCCCATGCTCCCTGGGATAGACTCCAGGTTCCCCGTGACCCTGAAGAAGGAATAAGCGGTAGAAGATGGATGGATGGATAATAATAATAATTATTATTATTATCATTATTATTGTTGTTGCTATTATTATTATTATTATTATTATTATTATTATTATTATTATTATTATTATTATTATTATTATTGTTATTATTGTTGTTGTTGTTGTTGCTATTATTATTATTATTGTTATTATTGTTGTTGTTATTATTATTACTATTATTATTGTTGTTGTTGTTGTTATTATTATTATTATTATTACTATTATTATTTTAAGAAGAATAAGATTATTATTATTATCGCAGGCAGTCAGTGCGGTGATTTCCTTCTGCTGCTTTCTGATTGGTCGTACCATGAGCCAACCAGCCAATCCAGAACATTCTACGCGGAAGTTTAGCGGAAGCACGCACCCTCTACGATCTAGAACGCATATTAATTCCCCCTGTTCAATAGCAGATGGTTTGTAGCTTGGTGAATGTGTGTAGGACGGTGATGTAACTGGCAACGACACAGGATCCTGGACTCAGACACTGTGAGACACGCAGAGGGACTGGAACAAACCGACTGTTATTCACCGCACCTGGCCAGCTTCACTTCTGTAGAACAGCGCGTTTCTTCTGGTAAGTTATCCATATAAACTCTGTGGAAATATGTTCTATCACCTATCAGTAACTCAGGTGTAATATAGGCCAGCAGTGGGCTAGTTATGCAGGTGCTAGTTACACGGCTTACTGAGCAACGCTAGTAACTTCATTTGATACTCACGTGAACTGTTTAACGTGTCATTTAATAAATGTTAACTTATGTGCGTGCGTGTGTTAGCAATCCAGCTGTGTTTCTGAGCAATATTAGCTTGAAAATAGTAAACATTCTGAAAGGATTTAAAATTTTTTTTTAAACCCAATCGTTTTCCTCTAAGTTCCGCGATAGTAGTTTGATCGCGTTGAACTATTAGCCAATCCCAGCGCAGATCGAGGATAGTTTTAGCCAATCATAGCGTTGGAGGCGGGATTGTATCTGAATACGGGCGGAAAAACATACGCTTCCTCATCACATGCCAAATGATAACACTGTTGCTCCTACTAATGAAGGGCAATGGGGGCCGCCAGGGGGCGCCCGGGGGGCCTCAACAGTTTGGTGTGAAAAATAAATAAATGTATGTTTTCTCTTTCAGGTGTTCTTGGTTACTTATTTTGTTTCCTATTAACTTTACTCACAGGGCATGGAGAAATCGAATCAGGATCGCTTTAACAGAGCCAGACTGCAGGTGATCAATGACAGCTATGAACGGGCGTTCGAGTGCATTACCAAGGCTCTTTCTGAGGACGAGGCGGGACGCAAGACCGAGGCTTTGGAGCTTTACCGCCGGGGACGTCAGCACCTTCTCCGAGGGCTCAGCGTGCCCACGCAGGGAGACGAGTGCGTGGGCACTCCGTGGGATTCTGCACGGCAGATGCAGCAGAAGATGCAGAAGACTCTGAACAACATCATGTCTCGATTGACAGTGCTGGAGAACGGCGTGGTTCCTTCGGCTCCTCCTCCAGGCGACGGGGCGACTCCTCAGAACCTGTACCCTACACTCCCGACGAGACCACCACCACCCGCGGTCCTGTTCTCCAACGGCCAACCTGCAGGAACCGAACGACCGCCTGCGTACTCCCCGCAAGCCGCTGACGGACACGTCAGTATTTCATATGGAACGGCCGCAGGAGAGCTGTCTTTAGTCGGGGACGAGTTCTACAGCCACACGTCCAGCTCGAGCAGCTCG